CTTCCCCAGGATGCCTCACCTGACTGTGGCAACGGACAAAACTCTGGCACCATCCTCAGAAGAGGAACAGCCTGAGGGGCTCTGGGCACCCCTGGCCTCACCTCTGCATCCCCTGAAAGTACAGGGACTCATCTGTGGTCCCTGCTTCTCCTCCCTCCCTGAACACCTTGGCTCTGTTCCCAAGCAGCTGGACTTCCAGAGACATGGCTCAGATCCTGGATTTGCAGGGAGTTGGGGCCACTGAACTCCAAGATAAAGACACCATGAGGGGATTGAAGGTGGGCAAGGTGAGAGTTAAGGGTCTTGAGGAGGTGGCCGGGTGCAGTGGCTCACACCTGTAATCCCAGCACTTTGGGAGGCTGAGGCAGGCAGATAATGAGGTCAGGAGATCAAGACCATCCTGGCTAACACAGTGAAACCCTGTCTCTACTAAAAATAATTTTAAAAAATTAGCCAGACCTGATGGCAGGCGCCTGTAGTCCCAGCTACTGGGGAGGCTGAGGCAGGAGAATGGCGTGGACCCGGGAGGTGGAGGTTGCAGTGAGCCGAGACTGCGCCACTGCACTCCAGCCTAGGCGACAGAGCGAGACTCCGTCTCAAAAAAAAGAGGATCTTGGGGAGGCAGACAGCCTCCCAGATGGGCCTCTCCTAATCTCCTAAAGTAGCTACAAACTGCTGATCCAGGTGAGCCAGGATGGCGTGGGTGAAGAGGCTCAGGACTTATCCCAGCCTCCTCCAGGGCTCCATTTAAATAGCAAGCCTGGTGGAGGGTGGGAGAGTCTCAGGTGTGGAGGCAGCTTACAGGATGGAGGGGGCAGTGAAGAAAGAAGTTTCTGATCTACATGAGTACCTTGCTCTGAGCCTCCCAGCTCAAAACCCTCCAGCACCTCATGGCCCAGCACCAAGGCCCAGGGTTGGTCACCATGATCACTCTTACCATGAGACTCCAACCTGGCTGGAGATGGAGGTGTCTTCTGTGGTAGACATGTCAGGACAGACCTCCAGCCCTCTGCTTCTGATGGTTCTGTGACGTTGGGTCTCTTGAGGACAGTGGAGTGTTACACAGCTAATAAAGTGCACATTTCATGTTGGGCTGGGTGTGTCACTTATCTGAAGGTCATCAGGTCTTTGACTGTGCTGTGGCTTTCTCCAAACCCTTCTTGTAAGGAGCTGGAGACTTACCCTCCACCATATCTAGTGTGTTGGGGACCTGAAGGTGGTTCTGCTGGGTCCAGAAGCTCCTGGAACCTGGGGCTGTTAGGCCGAGGTGAAGGGAAGCGGAGGTGCTGGCTTGGTGGCCCTAGGGGATCATGACAACAGCCAATACTTCGGTAGCACTCGCCCTGTACCAGGCACTGTGCTGACAGCTCTGCAGATACTTGTTCATCTAATCCTCAGAACAACCCCAAGGGGTTGATATTATTATCCCCATTTTAGAGATGTGGGATCAGTAGCAGAGAGACTAAGACACCCAAGCATGAGGGGGAATTCTGAATTCAGGTACTGTTCTGTTTCCTGATCTAGGTGCTGGTTACAGGAGTGTGTTCAGGTTGCCAAAGAGTGTGTTTCTATGTGTAAATTATACCTCAGCTTAAAAAATAATAATAAAAAAAGAGGCCAGGCATAGTGGCTCATGCCTGTAATCCCAGGGCTTTGGGATGAGGATGAGGCGGGAGGACTGCTTGAGGCCAGGAGTCCAAGGTTACAGTAAGCCATAATTGCATCACTGCACTCACAGCCTGGGCAATGGAATAAGACCCTGTCTCAAAATGAAAATTAAAAAAAATCATCCCCGTGCCTAACACAATAGGAAAAGGAGGACATAATTTCAACCCAGATGGTCTAGCTTTGAGAGCATGTGCAATTAACCACTGCTGAAAAGGACAAATTAACCATTGTCCAAGAACTACCTGGTTATTGCTTTTCAATCCTTTGTTCCAGTGTTCTGTAAAAGAATTTCAAATATGTATATCCCCCTCATGCATTTTTCAGTTGACATCTGAAATATTATAAAATACAATGATATATTTAAATAAATGCAAAGGATGTAATCTCAAGTGTCTTGTAAATATTGACACTTTATAAAACAATTCCATCCTTCATTTGTATTGACCCATTCCTACCCAAATAGCAGTGATTTGAGAGGCACCACCATCCATTTAAAAACACAAGAAACCCTTCTTTAACATTGTTCTTTTTTCTTTTCTCATAATTCCCACTATTCTTCCCATAGTTTTATCCTACATGTAATTTATTGGTATGCTTCAAAGCCTACTATTGATCACCCTATCATATGTTTGCAACACAAATATGTATACAGGCCGGGTGCAGTGGTTCACTCATGCCTATAATCCCAACACTTTTGGAGGATTGCTTGAGGCCAGGAATTCAAGACCAGCCTGGGCAGCATAGCTCAACCCAGTCTCTACAAAAAAATTTTTTTAATTAGCCAAGCATTGTGATGCGCACCAGTAGTCCCAGGTACTATAGGGCTTGCTGGGAGGCTTGGGTGGGAGAGTCACTTGAACCTAAGAGGTCAAGACTGCAGTAAGCCATGTTCATGCAACTGTACTCCAACCTGGGTAACAGAGCAAGACTCAGTCT